AAACTTATAGGAACAAAGGACAAAATATATAGAAGAAATGATGATAAAACATATTGAAAGATATCTTATAAGCATGAGGTGTTTGTTTCATGCTTCCTTCAATGCAGATTTTATACATGTCGGAGTCATGGCCACAACATAGCGGAGAATGGCTTAACATGTGGTCGTTTTATATAGTTGGGAAAGGAGATAATAAGTATTTTCTTTTCTCTTTATTTCTCTTTTTGTGTATCTTTCTTTCCCCAGTCGTTCTCTCTCTCTCTCTCTCTCCCTCAATCTTTCTGTGTATCCACCCCCTTCCCTCTCTCTCAGTCTCTCTTTCTCTTTTTTTTTTCTTCGCTGTGTCTCTCTCCCCCCCTTCTCTGTCTCCCCCCCCTCTCTCTCTCTCTCTCTTTCTCTCTCTCTCTATCTATCGAAACTTACATATTTTTTTACACACTGGCGATGCACTTACAATCCCTGTGGAAAAGGCCATTGTATAGTGATATATATTCCCCTGTTGCAGAATGCACAGTGGAATTTCTATATGCACGTGATTCCATATACATGCTTTACTGCTATGAAGACTGGTATGGAATTGTTCATTTTTTTTGCATTATTTTAGCAATCTTGGTGTGTACTTTCAATGAATAATGAATTTTAGTCACGTTAGAAAGCCATTGTGAACGAAATGAAGGTTTTTTTCTATTAATATCATAAGCATGTTTTGTATTCGCTTTGAGATTTTTTTTTTTTTTTTTTTTTTTAGATTTTTGTTTAAGACATCGCTTGTTTCTTTAGCAATTCGTTATGTATATCATCCACTGATTAAAAAAAAAAAAATACATCATTCATTATGGAAACTTTTTATCATCTTTCATTGCATAATATTACACTTGTTAAATCAGTCATTTCATTTTAGCATTTGTTAAAAGATAATGTTCTTCCTATTATTACTATTTAGGAGTGATTAGACCTTTTTTATTGTGTGTACAGAACACCTACTAATTTGCATATATAATAGTATGTATTTGATTGCGTCGTATGGATGTAGACTTGGAATATTTTGCAGAACTCATGGAGGGTTTTATATATATTCTTTTTTTTTTCTTGAATTTTGATTCTTTGCTTTAATTTTTAGCTTCAGAATCATAGTGAAGAATTTACTTCTTTTTTTTTTCTGCAGGATTTTATGAAGGTTCAGCTCTCTTACGCTCTCTCTCTCTTCTCTTCTCTCTCTCTCTCTCTCTCTCTCTCTCTCCCCACCTCTCTCTCTCTCTCTCTCTCTCTCTCTCTCTCTCTTTGCTTAATCATTGACGGAAAAATCGTAGACAAGAATTCATATTTGCATTTTTTTTTTTTTACGAGAAGTGGCAATGCTGCATTCCTAGTGGATTTTTGTAGTATATATAAACCTTTTTCTGTCTGTCTTTCGTTTCTTGTCATATCTTTTGAAGCAGACTTGCACTTGACAAGTTGGTAATGATAAGAAATTGATTACCTAATAACTGGTGATGCCCGTTATCTGATAACAATGCTTTTCGATTCAAACTGTAAAAAAAAAAAAAAAAAAAAAAAATATATATATATATATATATATATATATATATATTCAAAGAAAAAAAATTCCCCCGCCAAGAAAAAAAACTGGCAACTCACCCCGGCGTATGAACGACACTCATTCGCTAAAACTCTTTATATTTATATCAATCCATAATACATTATATATAAAAAAAATACATATAGTGAGGTATTTGTAAAAACAATCCTATTATACAAAATAAAAAAAATATATGATAATTTCTCCTTATTAATGAAAATGAACAGGTGCCAAGTTTATATTTAAAGTCTGCATGTTTGTCGATATTACAAGAGGTAGGAAATTAACACTGTTGTTAGCTAGGTGAAAATACTTTATAATGAATAAAATTATATGATTATGTGGAAGATTTTTTTTCAGTATCCTAAAGAATTATCTGTATTAGTTACAAAGGCATACACTGTACAAGCACATGCACACATACACGTATACACGCACATGTACACACGCATACACACATAGACATGTGCACACATACACTCACACACATACACACAAACATACACATACACACCCGCACCCACACACATATGCATACGCATACTCACACACATGTATAATGACATTAATGATAATTATTATCATTACTTTGATGACAATTATTAGTTTCTTATCACTGTAATCAGCATTATCACTAACCTAATTGCTATAATCTACATTATTGCCGCCACCATTATTTCCTAGAGAGATAGATAGAGAAAGAAAGAGAGGGAGAGAGAAAGAGAGAGAGAAAGAGTGAGAAAGTGAGCGAGAGAGAGAAAGAAAGAAAGAGAGAGACAGAAAGAGAGAAAGATAAGCAGGTAAAGGAAAAAAGCATAATAAAGAATGAAAGAAAGAAAGATAAAAAGAACAAAAAATATATATAACAATAACAAAAACACATAATAATCATTATAATCATCATCTTTATTTTCACAAAAT